GAATCCCTCATGGAGCAACTAGCAGGTTTCAGGGAGGGTACAACAGAAATCGAGGGCAACAGCCCTTAATCAAGAGCTTCTTCCAGAGCTGGGGAGTGTCATGGTGCACAAGGGTGACAGATGAAGAAAGCAGAGGGAGTAGCTGAAGAAGGAAACAGAGGGTGTCAATAATGACAGGAAAAGTAGGCTGAAGCTTAGCAAAGCTTCCATAATGAGGAATAATAACTGCAATTAAGAGGCAAAGAGGTGAGTGAGGGCCAATGAAATGATTCAGCATTGAAATGCAGTGCAAGACTAAATACAACTGGGGGAGGTATAAGGGCTTTACACCACGCTGTTATTGCTAAATGAAGCAAAATATGCTCTTATATCACAGGGCTGTGCTATTACATTCTTCCCCCCTCTTAACTACGCTCCTTTGCGAAAGCAGCAGGCAAATGTTGATACCTTCTTCTACTCTTGGCATCTTACCCCTTGCACGCAGTGTTGCAAAGACCCAATCACCTTTCATGAACTTTTTCTGGTCTTACCTTCACCCTCTGCTCCAACAAACCACCTGCTAACACAGCTTCTTTTCGAGTATTGTTTTCATATTTAAAGAAGCGATAGGGTATTTTGCCTTGAAGCGAGTGAGAAGGCTGTGGTTCAACTGGTGCGTGCAACAGGTATATCAGGTTAGCTCAATCCAGAATGACTTCTGCCTCTTTCTTAACAGGTTGTGCTCATGGCAGCTTTGTCACGCTGTTCCAGAGGGGCATTCCCGGGTGCTCTTAACACAGGAACATTCGTATACTCCCTAAAAAATCACTCCTGGAGCAGCTGGAGCATATCATTACTCCCATGTGGCTAGGAAGAAAGGCGGAGGCCAACAGATGTAGTTTTTTAGAAGCGATGGCATGAGCAGTGCTAGTAAATTGTTATATATCTCAGGAACCTTGTTCATTGTGTTGTTAAACGCCTTTATACTACTATAAAATGTTGGCAAGCATTAAGCTTTCATTTTGAGAGGAGAAAGTGCAGTTTTTCAATAAAGCACGCTGCAGAACTTTGTACCGCTGTAAAACCACAGAGACGGGGCATTTTTAATGACTTGGGAGATTTTTTTTTTTTTAGGGTATTTTGACGAACGGAGCCCGGCACCTTCCAGCACGGCAGGAGCG